TATTGAAACCAGATCCCTAAATATGGAAATACATATATTTTACCCAATGAAAATATAAATTTTCTAATGATAAATCAAAATCCCTTGCACGATTAGTTACTTATGCTAGTTTGCAAGTATATGCCGCAAGAGTTCGCGTAAGCCACTAAACCTATAAATAGGAACTCATTCCAAAAATTAAAAATTTGTATCAAATTGGAGCTAGTTACAGATTCAATAGGAAAGTACTTCAAAATCGTATAAGCAAAATCTAGTAGCTGTATAGATCTCCATTAAAAATCTTAAATACTTGATTGTAAATTGAAATTTCTTACACGTTAATTACAAATACTTATCGACAAGCATTTGCCACAGAGGGTTATGAGAACCAAAACTCTATTGATAGATAAGAACACTATCTAGTTAATTCCTAAAAGTGTAAATTTAAATTCGAGTTAGCAACAAATTCTAACACGAAAGTACTAAAAACATTACATAAGCAAAAATGTTAAATACATGTTCTCGATCATGAGCCATATAACTATTATTATAGAGAAAACCTAACAAGATTATTTTGTTAACGAATCAAAATAAATTTAGCTTTCTTTTGAATAAGTTTATGAAATATTTCAATTGGAAGAGAGGTACATAACATGTTTGTTCATTAATGTAGTATTCAATATTGTATGATAAATATATATTATTTAAAACTGATTATATCAACTTGTTTGATTATGTACTCGACCTCGAACCTTGTTTTTGTAACAAGTTCGTTTAAGTTCACTAACTTCTTTGGATGTATAGTGCACTTTTGTTAATTAATGAAATTTATTTTTGAAACCTACGTTGCAATTAATAATTTATAAAATCAAAAAAACTCTTCACATAAAAATAAAAAGAATAATGCTATTTGCAATCGCTCACTGTCGCAGTCGCCCTACGTGACATACACATGACAGGTGGTTATTTGATACATTAATGAATAAAAAAACTACCACATTAATGTATCAAATAATCATCTGCCATGTGTATGCCACGTAGGACGACTGCGGCAGTGAACGACTACGAATAGTATTACTCAAATAAAAAAGAAATGAAAGAAAAATGATGCCTGACAGTGAACGACTACGAATAGCATTGCTCAAATAAAAAAGAAATGAAAGAAAAATGATGCCTCAGGTGGAGTGTATGTATGTCTATCAGTTCATTATCAGTTCACAGTACACAAGTAATTTTCTTAACATTGGAAAAATTTTCTTTGGTGACTTTTATATCACTAAAGTTAAAGGTCAAGAGACGTTAAAACTTTGGGAAAAGACAGCCAGTGTTTTATAAAACTAATTCATCATCTTCATTTGTGGTCAAAAGAAGGGCCAGATGTAAAACTGCGTTTGAATATCTGGGTTGAGGTCGGCTAGCTTCACTTTACCCTTCATGAGGAGGATGATGAATTTAAGCCATTGTTTGAGTCTCATTTTGACGGGAAAAATGAATTTTTAAATAGTGTATTGATAGAAAATTTGTGATTAAAAAATAAAGAAAAATTTTGGATTTGTGTGTAATTTTATTTTATTGAAGAATGTGTAGTTAAAATAATGTCAAAATACTGTAGAAGAATTCATTTTTTTCCAAAGAATAGGCATAATCATAGGAAAATGCTATTTGTATATTTCATGTATAAATTCAAATTGAAATTGTATGAGATGTAAAAATTTGTGCCATGAATTATTTAAGTGTTGTTGAAATCAAAAATAAAAAAGTGAGTCATCTCACACACTGTAAAAAAAATAAATTCTAAAACTTAATCTCATCGTAACGGAACTGATAACTACATCCATATAAGAACTTCAATAAATATTAGACTGAGCCTTAATAATTAATGAGAGTGTTCGAAATGGCCCCTAATGAGGCCTATTTTGGCTCATTTAGTAGTTCTAGATTGCCCTCGACAAAAAAATGGTTAACTCATAAATTTTTTTAGTGTTTTTCTTGCGAGCTAGCTCGCTCGTGGACTCATGTGCGAGGCGTCTCATTATAAGTGAGTAAAAGAGTAATTTTACCATGAAAAAATTGCATAGCCGGCTAAAATTGCTCCACTAAGAGACAAGTTCGTGGTGTGAGCCAAGCCTCACTTTGGTGAAAGTGAGTTTGCTCGCACTTGGCTTGTCTTATAGTTCAGCGCGAGTTGGATCATGTGGTGGATCGAGTCAAGCTAGCGGTAGGCGAGATGAATGGCTTGCTCGACTCATTTAACATCCTTAGATGTAATCCAGAATATGCCAAGTTAGGATTGACAAAAATTTTGGGCTTTTCAGAGACAAGTTGAGAGAACTTGATCGACAGTTATTTTAACACCGCTATTCGAATTATCATTTCCTTTTCAATAAAAAATAAATTACTTTTTTAAAATTTGCTTATATGCACGATAAAAGTATTACGTCTAAACAAAAATCCTTAGGCATCAGCAACCAATAATTTCCAAAATTCAAGTTTTTTATATAACCACTAAAGATAAAGTGAAAAGACTTGTAGACTTTGGCAAGAGGCTGGTTGGGTGATTTCCATGTAAAAAAACTTAAAGGGAAGCTTGCAATCACAAAGAAAACGATGGTATTTTAGTCTTAGTGCATTTTATATTTAAGTTGTTTTTTACAATCATTTTTTATTTAAAGTTTGTTGTAAATATATTTTATATACACGAGCCTATTTGATTTAGATAAAAATTAGATTTTTAATAAATTTTGATAAAAATAATTAAATGTGTGATTAAAAAATTTTGATTTTTATAAAATTTGTGGTTAAAATTAATTATTAACTTTGATTTATATTTTTAAAATTTTTTTACTGAACCAAATAGGGGACCCGTATATTTAGTAAATTTTCCTAAAATAACAAGGGAATTGCTATTTCCATCTACAATTCTTATATATTTATCCACTTTTAAAAAAATTCTATATTATATTTTTAACATTATGTAAATTTACTTAAATAAACAAGAATAAAACAAATAAAGATTATTATCTAAATTCATCCACTAATCTTTATGAAAAAGTAAGTTTCTCTTCCCACATTAACAATGGGAAGTTTTTTATGGTGCAAGAGATCAATTCTACTAATATTTATCCTCATTAAATGCTTTTGGGTCTTTTATATTTTTTTGAGACTTCACGTCTAATTAAAAACCTAATATTCATAAATTATCTTCTTTACATATAGGACTTGTGCCGTTAGTTTGTCTTCCACTTTTATTAACGAATTCGTAAAATCACTTTTATTAACGAATTCAAGCCTTGATAGTTGACTAAATATTTGGATTACGATTGAAAATAATTGTGAGATGGACCATTTGGGAGGGATTTTTGGATTGGTGATGTTCATATCAAATCTTCTAGGGATAGCCTCAATATAATGGACCTCCAAAATGAAGCACATCATGTTACGGTCGAAATCAATGATTTGACTCTCCAGAAAATCGCGATCACTAAAACAATTTCAAGCTACTTCACTTAAAAACATCTTGAATGAAAAATGGGTGGAACATATCCACTCATTACTTCCCTATAATGTAAGTGTTATACCCTAAATCCAATCGATTTAGGTTGTAAATATTATTTTTGCCAAGATCTATTATTTGTTTAATTTAATATTCTAATAAATAATATTAAATAATAGAGTTCAAAAATTCAAGTTTAAGTAATTTGTTAATTATAAGGAGTTGTGATTGTGATATGTAAATTACATATGATTGAATTTTAAATAATTCATGGTCGTAAGTAATAACGAGATATAGATATCATTATTACGGATAGACCATTACATGTGACATTTCTTACTTGCAAAGTAAGTAGTTGATCTCACAAACTAAAGTATGGTGACACTTAAATGAACGCGTGGATGTTTTGTTATAGAACGAAATATTGGAGACCTTCTAAGAGATTTTATATGGATAACTATCTGAGTGTCAGTGATTAATCTCTAACGTTCGGTAGTGAAATTGGTCATTTGACTTGAGGTCGTCATAATGCCTTGTATGAGGACAGTCGTGCTCAGACGGTGTTGAATGTTGCTCTACCAAGGATTGCTAATACGACGTCGTTCGGGTATGTCAAGAATCATATGAAAGTTGTGAATAACCAATAGAGAATTCATCACTCTTAGATAGTAAGATATTGTGATCTACATTTAATTCAATTAAGTCAATAATGAAATATTTGGTCAAGGTATACTCATAAGTCGAAAATGAGTTTTCGACTCATATTGACTTAATAGTAGAATGAAAGATATGATCGATAATCAAAATTGACACACTTCCATATCCCATAATTGATCGGATTATATTGACGAAAAGATTATAATTTCATGGTAAATGAACAAGTTTGATTTTGTCATAACATGTGACATTTCCCGTCACGTGTTATCCTGACACATGGCTGGATGTTAATCTGGGATGACGAGTGTGAATTGATGATAAATTAAAATGATGTTTTAATTTATCAATTTTATTAGATTAAAATAGTATTTCATGTCGCTTAGTACCATGATCGGGAACCTGATGAGTCGCACACAAAAAAGAATTGGAAAATTGTAATTTGTCAATTAATTAATTTCACAATAGTTAGATAAATTAATTAATTGAGTTAGTTATTTATAGGTTCGAATTAATTAATTGAATTAATTAATTTATGAATCGAATTTAATTAAATGAATTAATTAAATATTGGACTGGGTAAGGCCATGCCCGTTCGAGCTGATATAAACACATGGCTAGGATTTTTTATTCATAGATGTTTCTCATAATCTTGCTAGCCTGGTGGCTGCAATCAAAGTTCAGTGGTTAAAACTCGACATTTTAATGTTCAATGATCAATCAAAGATATAGATTTAAGTCCAGTGATCAAAACTCGACACTTTTCAAAGTTCAGTGTCCAAAACCTGACATTTTAAAGTTCAGTGGCCAATAAAAAACGTGGACATAAGTTCAATGAGCATTGGGACAATTACCTCAATAATCCTTCATTTTTCCCAATCTTCCGCATTTCTGAGGCAGAATCGCTCACAAGAAGTCGAAATGGCAGGAGGACATGGGCATGGCTCTACTTACAAAGGCGTAACCTTGCACCAACCCAAACGTTGGCATACTGTCACCGGCAAGGGCCTGTGTGCCGTCATGTGGTACTTTAATGCATATACATATACATTTACTAAATTACACACAGCCAGGCTTTAATTTCTAATTATTTCTCTTTATCACCTTAGATCTATGTGCAAAGTGGCTGAAACTAAGTTTAATTTTACTTTTCCGTTTTTTATTTTTATGGGTAATTTGCTTTTTGAAGCTTAAAATTGGTCGTATTAAAATGTCGTATTTTCGTGCTTAATTCATGATTAGAATTGTTATCCTCATTTTGTGGATAATTACTGACTTTAGCCGTTTTACTTTTCCAAGTTAGCATGTAATTCGTATTCGGTTCATGAATTTGCTTGAGCAACTTATCGTTGCTAATGGAATATTACCAGATTTTTATTTACTGGTCTAAAAAATATATGCGGATGGTATTGGAATTTCAGATCGACTGTTGTTAGTTTTCTTAGAATTTGTAGTTAGAAGACATAAATTGTATATTGTGTATTATTCTGCTTTGGATATGCTGAATATTAAAGCTGTTATTATACATAGGTTAATTTGTGAATATCCTGTCCATTCTCAAATCTTAGACTTTTACCAAATTCAGTACACACTTCCCTCCTAGAATGTTGCATTTTTAAATTTTGAAGCAGTCTTTTGAGACATTTTTTCAGTTAGAGGCATTTCGATTACAATTATACTTGCAGTTGCCAGTAGTGGCTAGGCCAAATTTATTTGATGGAGTGCAATAAGTAATTGGGGAAAGGGGGAGAATTGAAATTTTTGTGGAAAATAATGGGTGGACAAATCTTTGTAGCCATATTATCTAGATGGTTGAACATTTGTGAGATTTTCCCTGGCCTATTGTATTTACTATTTATTATTGTTTGGAGGCAATTTCTTAATGAAAGAAGCATGTGAATTTTAATTATGTTATATTTTTAAAAAGTTAGCCACCTTCACCCTCTTTTCTGCATCCTAGAGGAACCTAATTGATGGTATGAAAAACTTCGGCAACATTAATGATAGTACCTGATTATTGTAGAAGTTAGTCTGTTAGACGTTCAAAAAATTGTTGAAAGATCGATTACTTCTGATTTTTGAAGGACATTATCATTTTCTATACCTAAATGTTCATGTTGGTTTATGTTTTAATTATTTACAGTGAGCCCTAGTTTCACGGGTCGACCGTCTAAGTCAAAGAGCAGGATTATTTTTCGCACCCCGTAAAGTGGTAGTCTCACTCCTTTCGACTACCTTTCGCCTACTTTTATTACGAGTCTAAACATGATCTGTTGTGTACTTCGTCTTAAAGGATTTTACTAAGGTGTAATCATCTAATAAATCCTTGCGTTGCACTTGGTGCCAAGATGCTCACCTATTTGTAATGTACGTCTTATAGGTTGTCTGCATGCTCATGCACTACATACAGTCCTCTCGAAGCGTACTTGTTGGAAAAAGGAGCTTTCCTAGCTCCGTTTGAAGCGTTGAGGGTCATTCACATACCCCACAATGCGATCCTTGTGCGTTGTCACTTTCTATGGACATCTTAGCTTAATGCTTGTAGCCATGAACCCTGTTAGTGCCTAGACCAAGTAGGGTGGTGCGTTAATCCGTGGTTAATTAGTAGTGCCTTCATAGCTAAGTCGTTCCCACAATATTGACATCTTGCCATATTTGTCCCACTATGTGGCGGCCCCACGATTGCATTTCTAGCCTAGAACTATTGCGGCAAGGCCAGAATCCATAGTATATTCACGCAAGGACTTTAAAGTGGTTGCCTCGATAGCATTTTCAGTCTAGAGGTGTTATCATATCCAACAATGATCTGTCACCAACCTCAGGCCACCTCCGGGTGCCCAAGAAAGGCCTAATGCTACTCGATGAGTTCCCGACCTTAGGTGCCTAAAGTAGGCCCTTAGTTGCCCCTACGGCCCCTAAGGATTGCACATTTTGTACGTAAGGATTGCTCGCCGACTGCTCGAAAGCACAGGGAAGGCAGCTTGACTGCTCACCAAGCATGTCTCCTTATAATTAGACTTAGCAAGAAAAATCTAAGCGACATCAATAGACATCTTTTGGGCAATGCATCATAACTTTTATGATTGATGTTCTGGACCTCCAAACAATGTTTTGTTTGATTCATAGTGAAACTAATATCTTCAATATCAAGTCCACAAAATTTCAGCTTCAAATGATATCCGATCCTTGAGTTGACCTCAATATATTCTGAAACTACGACAATATCCCTGCATGATGCTATTGCCTTCACCCCTATGTTTTCTAACGAAACAGACTCCGATTATCGTCTGCCTTGGTGGAAAGGATCCTAACTCCTTAGGCAAGCCCTGTGTAAAGCGGCTTCCCAAAACTCCTTTGCTAAGATCCTCTGTTCATCACATGAAGTTGTTGCCATTACGGCTACTATAATCATGTGAAGCCAAGTTCTCTACTTGTCCCCCATCGGATGTCATGGACATTAGCGTCATCATGCTAAGTTGCGGTCCATGACACTTTGGCTTGTTTTGGTGTTGTGGCTTTGTTTTGAAGCTGTATCATTTTCTGTTTTCAATTAAAGAATGTTTTGAGACATTTACTAGAGTATAATTACTGGTAAATATGAGAAATGAAAGCTGTCTTTAACTTCTTTGAGATGTTTAATGCTGGATACAAGAAGAGAAATCTGCCTGGGAAACTATTCTGACATAAAAACACTATTATAGGCATTGATATTATTGTGATTGTTTAAAGTATTGCAAGCATCAACTAAGAGTATGCGATTGCTATAATTGTCTACTGATAACCCCGATCAAAGGGTCTAGAACCAGATTTGGCTTGCAGCTACCGATCAATACTTGTGATGACTTATTACTTTATTCTTTTGGCATACTCTTGGTAGAAATTTCTGTAGCATGTCCTTGAAGAAAACCTACATATCCAAATTTCCATTGAAAGTATTATATTTAACTAGTATAAATAAGCCTGGAAATTTTATTGTGACTGTTTAAAGTATTGCAAGTGTCAACTTTGAGTATGCTATTGCTATAATTGTCTACTGATAGCCCCAATCAAAAGGCCTAGAGAACCAGATGGTGGCTTGCAGCTACCGATCAATACTTGTGATGACTCATTCCTTTATTCTTGTGGGCCTGTGACACACTCTTGGTATACAGTTCTGTAGCATCTCCTTGAAGAAAACCTACATATCCAAATGTTCATTGAAAGTATTATATTTAAATTGTATAAATAAGCCTGAAAATATTTCAGCCCTATAGACCAGATCTAATATCAAAAAAGGGAAAGGAATGTGTCCATTTCATTTGCTGCACGATACGTATTTTTTTGGTGTCGCTCTTCTTAGATTTATGTGATCTACATGTTTGATCTTTCAGGTTTTGGATTCTTTATAGGGCCAAGCAAGATGGTCCTGTAGTACTGGTGAGCCTACGGTGTTTTCCTACTTTTTCATGATTGGGCTTGTGATGTTTCCCTTCTCTTTTTTCAATGATTGTATTGCATCTTTGGTTTTTGAACTCTTAAGGACATTTTCTGACATGGTTCTCATGCTTTCAGGGTTGGAGGCATCCTTGGGATGGTCATGACGATCACCATTAGGTAAGCTTTTATTGTGCTGATAACTAGATAATTTGTTGTCATATTCCTAATAGTGAGTGCGATTGTTCTGCTTTGTTTTTTGTGCATTGCATTAAATGTTAGTTCATATATATAAAGTGCAAAAAAAATATCATGTTCTTATATAGGGTATGATATTTGTTTCGTTGTGCCATATGTAAGTGAATCTGCATCTTGCTTGCCCTCGAAATACTGTAATATCAAAGAAAACTTGAAATTATTATCATTACAGAAATTGATAATTCTTAGAATTCTGACTTGTCTTTGAGTAACATCATTTTTGTCAACCGTTGACCTGTTTAAAATAGTTCCTATATTTCTTGTGCTGGTGAATGTGATACATACAAAGCCCTTCATATAGGCAATCCTGTAAATGATAATACCTGGATTAGTAAATTGTAGTTATCATTTAGTGTTCCATACTCGTATTTTCTGTTAAGAGTTGTATCCATTTCACAAATTGTGAGAATTGAGAAAAATCTTCAATTCCGTTTGAATGGATACTGCATGTTAACCAAAGAGTTGGAATAACATGGCTTTTGCTTGCCAGTTCCAACATATTTGTTGCCAGCATTATGCTCCCTTAGCTAAAAGAGTTGATAAAAACCTAAATCAAAGTCAACAATTAATTTCAACCACACGTTTCATGGATCCACAACTTTTATCAAATTTTCAACTACACATTTTTGCCCTATTTGAGCCCCATTTTTTATTTTCTGGAGAAAATGTATTTTAGAATAGTGATTTTTTTTTTTTAAGAATGTGTGGTTTAAAAATAGGAAAAACTTTTGGGTTTACGTGTAAAATTATTTTATGGGAGGATGTATGGTTGAAAATGAGTTTTGGGAAAAATGAGGCTCAAATATGTCATCGACTTATATCAAAATTTATTAAAAAATCTGATTTTTGGCTAAACCAAACAAGGGCATATTAAATGAATTTGATCTTCATAAAAGTCTCTTTGATCAATTATATCTGCCTTCAAATGATGATGTTTAAGTTTTTTTTTGTGGATTTACATTTTTTTATTTACTGGACGACTTTTGCCTCTCAGGTTTCCAGCGAAGTATAATAAGGAACGCAAGGCAGAAGCACCGATCTGCTCTTGGTATGAATGTCATTTCAGAATATCTGTTTGGTTTCTGTACAATAAATTGATGGTGAAAGAGTGTATCGAAGATGATGTGATGAGATTCTGGAATATATAGATTTTATGTTTTTATTTAAATGCTTTTGCCTGCTTTCTTTATGAATGGCTGGTATGTAAATATTGCTTGATATCTTAATTGGATCAGAAACGATCTCATACCCATGGTGGGTATGAGTTATCTTGCCGTTGCCCCGCCAACGGTCAAGCCTATAATTTTTGATAATTCAACTCCCGTCTCCCTCAAAGCCTATTATGATTTACTTTTGTCCTTGAGAATTTTTTTGGCATCAACCCTACCCTCACACTGCCACGTCAGCGGTGGTCATGTTTTATCCTACCCACCATGGGTAGGAAATCATTTCTATTAATTTGATACCCGTCAAACTTGGAACTTTTTCCAATCACGAGCAGTCGGTCTGTCCCTGGCTAGTGCATGGGCTGTTGTGGGACAAATTTCTGACTGGCTTGTCACGTATCGTTTCATTTAACATCCCTAACTTGAACAGCTATGTATTATTGCTTTCTGATGTTGCAGTAGATAGTGAAATGCATGGCTAAGAAATTCTGTCTACGGTCTATTTTCTGGTCCCTCGATGTCTGCTGGCATGCACTTAAGTGTGCATTCATTCATATTTAAAGGTTGAACCCCAATCTTGAGAGCTCCCACCGCCTCGCCCCTAGATCTTTGTAAGGAAGGTAAATCGCGGGATGTGCTCTAACAAGTCAGGGAAAAGAGCTGTCTGTACATTGTGCCTACAAGGAGTTCAATTTCGTGTTTTAGGAATCTAACCCCCACACTATGGGCTGTGAGCAAGGCGTGAGGTAACCTCACTCCTGTCATTTACTAAAGTGGCCAATGATTGAGACATCAATTGTTGACTTGGAAAAAATGTGTCTCTGCCGTATTTTATATGAAGCTTGTTATGATTTAGGGTAGCTGAAAATGTAAAATCGATCAAAACTTCAAAAAATAAATCAGACACGTTTGTCAACTAAACTTGTAATTTGTTGATACAGTTTCAAGTATATTATACGCTATGGGCGATGGACATGTTTCATATGCTATGCTAGTTCGAATAGATGATTTTTGGACATGACAATTAACAAACAATTTTTGTTATACTTGTTCTGACATTTGCTTGGAACTCCTAGATATGACAGAACATAACGACTTACATCATTAAAAATGAAGTGTATAACATCAAAGAAACAAATTAAACTTTGTAAACACGATTTACTTGCTTGAGTGCTCGCTTTGATACACTCTTGGTTTGGATATACTGATAAAAACAAGGATTTCAAACAAGTCGAGAAATTCCCTTGTGACGACGAGGGCATTTGAATATGAAGAGAGACGATGAAAATCCGAGCATTCTATAATTTCGTACATCATATTGTTAGAGTACGTGATTGGACATACTAGTATCAAGATCAATGTGGTAATTATTATTTCAACGTAAGAATAAAATATAACCCATCTTTATTTCCCTATTTTATTGAGAAAAAGAATAATAAAAAAATACAGCATGATTGAAAATCAGTTTGTTGACATTAAACCTAAAGTTAAATCCTCTTGCGATCTTAAAACTGTGCTGTAATGAAAAAAGCCAGCTGGGCAAAACATATATTATTCCTAGTTGGTAAGTATGTTAAGAAGCGATGCTCTTGTCCGAATCAACCTCCTGAACATGCACTCTAATTCAGCTTCAAGATTTTCAGTGATAATTTCCACAGCCTCCAATCTTTTAATTGCAGTTTGAATGGTGGAAATGTCACATTTTTCCCACAAACTTAGGCTGTTAACCCGAGTTAATTTAAACTTAAAAGCCTCTTTATTGGATTTTCTGTTTGGTTTAGGCATGGATATGAGTGAATTTAGAGACTCAACAATGGACATGGTGGTGGCTTTCACTTCTTTAAGCACATTTACAACCACCACAAGGCTGCAGTGGTCGGCTGCTGTCGCCCCGATCGGGGCAGCGATATTTTTGTTTTTCATCCCTTTTAGAGATTGCAAACGCTTTAAAATGGCTTTCTTCAGCGTTTTCCGGTGGTGGTGATAGGCTGCGAACTGGTTTCCGACAACCGTGGTTTCATTGACACTGATTCGGCGAAATGTGGATTGAAGTTCTTGGAGATGGTCTTTTACCAGTAGGAGAATATCTTTGGTGGCACCACAAGCATCCACCATTTTTAGGGATGCTTCTGAAACCTCATGAACCCATTTTTCTTCTCCACGATAAGCGATTTTTTGTTTGGTCATTGGTGAGTGAAGCAAGTCATTAACTGAGTCGTGCATGTCTTTGAGAGCATCAAAATTAGGGAGCGACATTTTCCACGATCAAGAACAAATGAATTCTATATATATGATTGGGGAGAGTATTTGCCGATGAGGATTATGGATGAGTTGACGAGATATTCACGATCAAGAAGTACTCGGTTTTCAAGCTCTCTAACGAGAAACAAAGGTAGAACGCCAATAGAGAAGTGGATCAATATGGTGTTCTGTTCTTGCTGAGAGCTGATATGGGCACAAGATAATGTAGGCTAAACCTCTTGATTATCAATATATATGTAAACATGAGACGACTACATATATCTTTAATAAATTCAATCTCAGATCTCTACGAAAATGGTACGAAGTTTCATTTCTTGTACGGACTTGTCTTAATTGGCAACATCTATGGGACCAACTCTGTCTGAGCGAACCTTCCGTCCACACAGCAGACATGAACATTATAAGCTGTGAAAACATTAAAAAATGGAGCAATCGTCTCGTCTATCAGTTTATGTCTCCATTGGCGGCATATACATACACAAACCTAATCTCCTACCCACAATGAATAGGAAATATCTTGTCGACCACCAACATAACAACGTCACATCAGCGATCAAGCCTACAATTTTTGACAATTCAACTGTTGACTTGTTGATGTGGCAACGTCAACGATGATATGACACATTATTAATTGGTGAATAAATTAATTATTCGTTACATATATATGCGGACGTTGGGGTTGGAGGATGCCAACCTGTGTTGATTATTTGCATGCAGACAAAATGTTGGTGACAATTAAGGCCAAAACAGGTTTTTTCTTTTTTTCATACAGCTGTGCCGTGCATGCCCTTGTTTTTGCTGCATTCGACATAAGATCTGCGATCTGGGATTAAGATTTTATTATAGAATGGTACATAGTTTCCATGAAATTCCTATCATCGAACATCATTGGATAATCAAAGTTCAATGGTGATATTGTCATTGAAAGAGTTAAGTCAAAATTAGAAGTGAAACCCTTAGTGTCTTACAGGTTTGGACTAGCGTGACAGAATTGATGTCTATTGTGTATTCTATTTTATTTTTATAGTAATAAAAAGCTGAAAGATAATCCAAAATAAAAAATTGAAACGCTCGATTTTCTCAAAACTTTCAACTTTCTTTTCATTTGTGGCTTCTTCTTCAAAGTTGTAGCTACATCATGTAATTTTTTTTTTTCAGGAGCAACATCCTCAATAAGTTGTTCGGTTTCAAAATATTAGTTCTGTGACATTTTGATACCAACGTGACATCTATACTCTATGAAACATTCATATTAGGCGCGCATGACCTTATAATTTAAAAAATGACACAACATGTTACTTTCAAATGGACAACCTTAATTCGTATCCAACTCAAAAAAGTTGGGGTAACTCTTCATCATATTTTCCAAGATAGCGTGTGACTTTCTTAAAATAAGTGGCACGGTATGTTCTTTAATTCATATGCAAGACAAATATAATATTAAATCGTGCAAATTTTGAATTAATATTTTCACAAACACTTAAATGCGTCTCTTTAATTGATATAAAAAGAATTTAAATTGAATAAAGTGATTTTTTTTTTTTTAAAAGTGACAGTACGTTAATTTCAAAATTCAACACCTTAATTCATATGCAAGACGAATATAGTATTACAATATCACTTTTTAATGTAAAGAAAAGTTTTAATCCATATACACATGTTAATATTTTCATAACACCTGGAATGTTTCTCCTTAATTAATCTAAAACGAATTCAAATAAGTTATTGTGATATTTTCTTAAAAAGTGACAGAGTATGTCATTTTTAAATGGGTAACTTACAAAAATACCTTTAAAATTAAGGGTGTTTTGAAAAATCATATGAAATAATTTTTGGAAGTAAAAAATACTATGTAAAATTTAAAAGTGACACGGTGTTACTTTTTTATAAAAATTGTCACTTTTTTGAATTGTGTTTAAAAAATGATGACACAAACACTCCGAAAGTGATAAAATTCAAAAAATAAATAAATAAATTGATACAAACTCAAATAAGTGACAAAAATCAAAATAACACCATCTATTTACACAACACTAGTAATCATATTCTTAATATAATCAGCATGTTTGAGACAATCCACATGAGCATGGTGACGGTTCTTAACATAAAGAGCATGTCCACATGCTAAATATGTTAGAAAAATGTCATATTTTTAAGAAAAGAAAGTGACAAAAACTAAAAAGGTGACAAACTCAGAAAAGTGACAAAATCTCAAAAAAAGAAAAGGTTTTTTGGAAGTAGAAAAGACCGTGTAAATTTAAAAGTGACAGAATGTCACTTTTTTTTATAAAAATTGTCACTTTTTTTAACACAATCCACATGTGCATAGTGACGGTTCTTAACATAAACAGCATGTGGATATATCATGTCATATTTTTAAGAAGATAAGAAAGTGACAAAAAGTTAAAAGGTGACAAACTCAGAAAAGTGACAAAATCTCAAAAAAAAAATAATAATAATAAACAAAATGTCACTTTTTTTAACACAGTTCAAAAAAAATGTGGAAACGGTGTCTACCATTCACATAAAACTGAAAATGGAATAAGCATTCAGATTCAAGTACCTAAATAATTCTTTCACACTAAAAGATTAAACATACAACTAAAAATTGTATCTAGTATCGAGCAACTTACAAAATTTCCCTTAAAATTAAGGGTGTTTTGAAAAATCATATGATAATTTTTGAAAGTAAAAAATACTGTGTAAAATTAAAAAGTGACACAATATCACTTATTTTTAACACAATTCAAAAAAAGTGACACAAAAAAAAAGGAAAAAAAGTGACAATTCAAAAAAAAAATGACACAAACACTCCAAAAGTGACAAAATTCAAAGAAAAAAAAAGTGATAATGCAAGCTCAAAAAAATGACAAAAATCAAAATAACACCATCCATTTGTACAACACCAATAATCATATTTTTAACATAATCAGCATGCTTGAGACAATCCACGTGATCATAGTTGCGGTTCTTAACATAATTAGTATGTTCACATGCTGATTATATTAGAAAAATGTCGTATATCATGTCATATTTTTAAGAAGATAAAAAAGTGACAAAAACTTAAGAGGTGACAAACTCAGAAAAGTAATAAAAAAAAAAAAAAGATGAGTTTTTTGGAAGTAGAAAACATTGTGTAAATTTAAAAGTGACAGAATGTCACCTTTTTATATAAATTGTCACTTTTTTTTATAAAAGAGAAGAAGGTGAAAATGGTGTCTACCATTCACATAAAACCAGTTACATAAAACCGAAAATGGAATAAACATTCAGATTCAAGTACCTAAATAATTCTTTCACACTAAAAGATTAAACATACAACTAAAAATTGTATCTAGTCTTCGCCATTCACATATAATCAGTCAAATTAAGGTAGGTATCTACCATTCACATAAAACCAATCGCATAAAACTAAAAATGGAATAAACAATCATAATGTTCTCAAAACCAGCAAATATTACAGTATAAAAATTGAATAAAAACCATAAAAAATGGTTTAAACAATGAAAAATCTTAGCTACCTTAAGTTTACAAAATTTTGAATAAAATTTTTTTCTTCTCTGAAGATTCTTCTTCATTAATCCTTTTTTCTTCAACTCCTTAAATTCACTTTCTCCGGCCATTTTTTTGGAGTCAGGTGAAAATTAGCAAAAGTTAAGGTCAGAGTTGGTGCTGGTTTGTAGAAGTCAGAGTCGGAGTGAGGTGAGGTTTCTGTAATTTGGGACTTTTACGGGTTCGTCCTTGGAGAGGAGACAGAGGAAGATGGCAAAGATGGTGGAGTGATGAAGACCACAGAAAAACGACAAAGAAGGAGGTTTCTCTTTGGTTTTGGAATCATATGTTGGGGTGAGAGACGTGAGAGAAGAGGTTTCTCTGGAGGGTATTGAGGTTTGCAGATTTTAGTAAGGACGTATTAATTACGGTTTATGTGAGATTTAATTCATTTTAATGCATTAATCTAATTTTTTTCGTTTCCAGCGTATTGAGCCTAATTTTCCCTTTTGAAATTTTAGCACTTTAATTCATGTGCAAGGCAAATTAGAGATAATAGTGTTACTTTTTCAAAAAGTAGCAGAATATTTAAATTTTAGCACCTTGATTTGTATGCAAGACAAATAAAGTGTTATACTATTCCACTTTTTAATGTAAAGCGAAGTTTGAATTTATATTCATATTTGCATTTTCACAAATTTTTGTGTGCTTCTACTTAATCGATCAAAAGTTGAACTTTCATATATACCAACTCAAAATCATTAATTGAAAGAGAAATTTTCATATGTACTAACCCCAGACACAAAAATAAATAAATAATAAAAAAAATAAAAATTATCAAATTCTTAGTTTTGCAGCAGTTTAAATATATATAAAGAAGTTCATAAATCTATGAGATTAGCTTATATTTGCTTTCCTTTTAGTGAATAATAAAAATCTGAACTATTTGAATCAAAATTCAGAAATTACTAATTTATAGATTTTTGTTGATTGTTTGTAGATTTTGAGAATAAAATACACAAGATTCTATGAAAATTGTAGTAGGAGTCATCAATTTGTAATTTTGATCCATGGCAAGAATTACGGTTTGGAATTTTTTAATTTTTTTAAGAAAGTTTTGATGGTTTCTGTCGTTGGGTTAACGCTTTCGGGCTTTCTGTTTTACGGCTTGAAAGTTGAATAATAATGTAAAAAAGGTTGAACTCCAACCTTGAGAGCTCCCATCGTCCCGCCCTTTAAGTATCGCGAGGGTGGTAAATCGCGGAACGTACCCCAACAAGTTAGAGAACAAGAACTTGTCCGTACACTTGAATAATAATATATAAAATACATCATAAGGTGCAAGTTTGTGTATTTATTTTCAACCCCATGTTTTATGCTGAGTTTTTAGAATGTCTTGATTTTAAAGGTACTAGTGTAAGTTGCTCATTCTTGAAAAATGAGTTTTTTTTTTTTTTTCCTCGAAAATTTCTTGTTGCAAATTGATTTTTATAAGAATAACTTATTCAAATTAGTTTAGGAAAATGATGATAATTCAATATTTAGCTCAATTCATTTTCAACCACAACATTCTTTTGATAAAATAATTTTACATGTACATCCACAATAACCTTACCCTCTTCAAAAAAATACTTTTCACAAAAATATTTTCTCAAAAATACTACAAAGAACAGACCCTCGGATTGGTTGAATAAAACAACACTTGATGCTATTTAGCACCAAGGGCAATAAATAGCATTACTCTAATAAGGGTCGTGAACTAAAATCATTATTGCTAGAATAATGCTATTTAGTGCCACTGGAGTTACATCCCCGATTTAGGTGGCATTTAAATGATTGGTGAAATTAAATAAGTCACTTAATTTCACCTTTCATTCGACCTATCATCTAACGCTATCTAGACTGGAATTGTAACTCCAATGAGATTACATAGCATTAACCTCCTTTACACCGAGGATGAGGTAAACAAAGGTAATTCAATATTTAGATGCACTGGGGAACTAACAAGTTTTGGTAGATATCAATTGATGGTTTAGAACCACAAAACCCATAGCAGTTAAAGCTAAGAATAGAATCCGGTAGTAAGCGTTCCACCCCTGGAAATGAAGTGATATTCATACATACCACAGTCAGGCCCCTTTCATTGTTACATAGGCCTCTTACACTTCCTATAGATTACTCTGTGTAAAAAAGCTAAGAATAAATAACAGAATCAAAAGCAGGTCCATTTCAGATGGCAAGCACCAATTCAAGCAATTTCTAACACAGTATAACTTGATTAGTTCAAGTGTTCAAGATGAAGCGCCAGTTCCAAGATTGATTTCAGCTATCTAAAATAAAATCTCTGATTTGCACAGAGATCATATGTTCTGGGGGCTTCAGTAAGTTTCTTGAATTACATTTGTGAGATATAATATTTCTATCCGGCAAAGAATGAAGTAAAATATGGCCTGAAATAACAGGATAACACATAAATTTTAGAAAAGGCCTAAAATCATAGTGCACCAGATCAAGTGCCAATATCTGGCAATCTATTGCAGCAACAAAATAGCAAAAGCCATAATAGAATAATATTTTTAATGGTATCATCCACTTCAAGAAACTGTGAAGAAAAGACTTTATTCTGCAGGCTGCATCGATTGCACATAAGTAATGTACTACAATAGCAGAGATCGAAAATTATTTAAGTCTCAAGAAGACACTTGAGTGGGGGCGAGGGGGAGGATTTTTTCATTTATTGGTGGAACAATGACAGTAAAACCAAACCAAAGATAATCAGGAAATATAAATAAAGTTAAAGCTAGTGCAAAAAGTACCTGAAAGTCCATTAAAAGATCTTCCTTCTTACCTTCAGCTTGAAAACCAAGAAGAACCAGTCACGATTAGAAACATCAATATCAAGCCATAGTTCACCAAGCTATCTAATTCCTTCATCATTTCAATCCTTCCAAGAATAGCATTCCATATGCGTGTAACAGGACAAGTAGCATGTTTATCCTGTAGCACGCGTTCTTTCCCTCATAAGTTTCACATGCGAAGAACTGAGTAGTCAAGTGACAAAAACAGACTTTGAGTACACATCATCTAATAGGAAGAATGTAGAGCTCTTACAGTTATGTTAGAGTCAATCAATTCTTGTGGAACATCAGAAATTTTTAGTCTTCTCTGTTCCACCTCATCTGACTGATCCAGGGAAATTTCAGCTTTAGATTTAGAGTATTTGACTGAGAAGGCTCGGTAAGGTGAATCAGTGTGGATTGTTTCCATGACTGAACCAAAGAAGTTGGTCACAGGTACCTAGTGAGAGCAGCAGAGGCAAATTAGAAAGTTAAATCTCAGATATCGAATGGTTATCTAAATCACCAACTTGTACACTAAGGGTCCGTTTGATTGCAAGAATGAAATTTGGGTGAAAAGAAAATGAATTTCAGAAAATTGAATTGCCTAAAACTTGTTTTCCTGGGAATTCTCAATTAAATGTGTTTAATTGATATAATTTTCCACCTGGAAAATGTTGAAATTTTCTATCTTTTGATGTTTGTTTTGTTTTGTTTTGTTTTCATGAAAAGTTGTCAATTAAAGGGATTACAATTGGGAATAGAATTTGTTCCAATTGCCCCAAAAAAAAAAAAAAAAACAACCCTAGCTGGAAAACCAATTCCCATGGGTTTGGTGGGAATCGATTTTTCACAAAACCAAGGAAATTGGTCACGTGGGGGTGGGGTGGGTTGGGGGGGGGGCCGAGGAGGAAAAGGAATTGCAAGAAAGTTTTGCAATCAAACAAGCCCAAAAGGTGGAAAATTGAGCAAATCAAACAGGCCCAGAGAGCCTATTTGAGCCCCATTTTCTTGACAAAATGCATTTTGATGGAGAATGTGTGGTTAAAAAATAAGGAAAAGTTTTGGATTTGCCCGTAATATTATTTTAATGAAGAATGTGTGATTGAAACTAACAAAGAAAAAAAACGTATTTTGGAAATAATGAAGACCAAACAAGGGCTAATATGTTAAAAGCCACTTATTCATGAGTTAAATTTTAGTAGTAAAAGAGAGAAGCTACAGAAAGTTCTGTTATAATAATCCAACAGATTTCTACAGAACTTAATCATTTTGAACTAGTAACTTTATAGCATATATGGAAAAGCCATTTACATGGTGGCATCAGCAAATAAAAGCAAAATAAGCAGAAAGAGAGAGAAATGAAATGTGATAATGGCAAGTACATGGATTTTGTGTAATTAAATGAAACAAATTATTTTCCAATCAGGGATCTGAACTTCATACCTCCTCCAACAGTCGGCCATAAAGATCTGTTCGATAATATGCAGTTGACATCAACAAGTTTGAATTATAGGAATTAAAAAGGCTGCGAAAACAGGAGTAAATTTCAAAAATCATGATCCAAAATTCCAAGTTTCAGAAAAGGTTGAAGAGTTATTGGCCTAAAGAACGATAAATAACAAAATCATAAGTTTGCCCCAATTTCAGAGAACGAAAAACATATGAATAATATTTGTAGAGTATGAGCATCTCCCCCACGAACACAATTCTTGACCAAAAGTTGAAAGGGGACATTAAAGACACCAAGATTTTTTGCCATTGAGTTGAGATGAATTTGAAAGATCAAGGATCACCCAGTGGTCAGATACATAAATTAAATTCTGCTCGGTTCCATCTCAGAAAAATGATATTCTGATTCAAAAGACGAGAAATATCATATGCAAACTTGGAATAGATTAACTTGTTTGATTCAGAAGTTACTTAGCAGGAACACCCATAGTTATTTTAGGTCAACGGCAACCCACATCAATTGGTAGTAGAAGTAGTGATCCAGACTTTCTTTTTCTGTTTGATTATATAATATTCAGGAAGAAAGAGAAAATAGGAATTATCCTGAAAAACAGCTGCTCTCTCTGTCATAAAATTCCCTTCAGCCTCAAGGAAATAACCTGTTTGCTATGTACTAACATCATTACACAGAAGGCAAGGACATTGATCCAGTTGAATTATAAAGATGTTTAAAAAGGTTTGAATTGACCTTATACTGAAAACTCATTCCTACCCACAATTACTTCAAGTGTTCTCTTTTTTTTTTCCCAAGAAAATACTTAAAATGGGTAAATAATAGAGTAAATCAAAATTTTAAAGTCCTTTGTACAAGCTCTATAAATGTCAAAAAAACAGAAGGCATGATTTTAAAAGATCCTTCTTCAAAAAAAATAGAAATGGAAATAATAGTGTTGAATATTTTGTCAAAAACAGCCTTGCTCTTACATTATGAAACTCAGATGTCAAGGACACTTGTGTTAAAAAAATCTCACTCGACCAAGAACTTATAGGAGGAATATCACGATAGTGGCATGAAAAAATGACATCAAATTAAATCTTTTTACATACCTGCTCAATGAGGCATTGTCATACATATTTAGCCTCTCAAAGAAAGCAAGGGTATAAAATGTGAATCGATCTACAACAGATACACCAACCTGTATCAAAGAAGCAAAGAAGGGCGTGTAATTATCCAAAAGTTTAGAACTGGCAGAGAAAACAAAAATCACAACAATCTGCAGCATCCAATAATTATCAACATCCAGTCAAACTACAGGAGGATAATGGTGGTAATCAGCACTTACATCAGAGTCCAAGTGATGAGAATATGAATTCTCTCCTTTCATGCTACTTCCAATAGCCAAAACGCCAGGCGATTGGAGCTGTAATGGAAGACACACACCCTTTTACATTCAATAACTACTAAAAAGGAAAATTTCATGCTGGTGACAAGATTGGAGTCGAAGAGAAAATGATAAACAAGAACATAAGATGAAAAGAACTGGGAAGATGATGATTATGATCATCATAATCGTTGTCACCATCACCATCACCATCAACCCAGTACTCTAGCTAAGAAAGAAATACTATGCCAAACCCTTCCCTCCCTCTTCCCCTCTTGTTTACCTGATCAATTGATCAAGAAGTACATACCAAGGACATGTTTGGCTAAGCTTAAAAAATTTACGTACCCCTACCATACTACAAGATAAGTAACTTTACTTTAAGGTGAGAAATAGGTAACTTATCCAAACATATTTGGAAACAAAAAATTTACTTAAAATTAAGTTTATTAAGTTTTAAGCTTTCTCAAAACATGCTTTAATTCCTCAAAGATTAAAAAAATTGATAAAGAAAATCTGAATCACGCAAATGGTTCTTATTATCAAACTATGGGAACCCATAGCAAGGCAAAGGAGAGATGCATCTTAATAATTGGACACTTCTCCTAATAATCTCACAGTAGAAAGTTACTAAAGAGAAACAAAGGTTGAGCCAAAGATAGAAGGCCTAGAACACCAGTAAAATGTTTTATCTTCATTTCAGGCATGTGATGGACGGTATGGGCCTACAATGTTCCCCTACATGAACTACAACATGAACCAGATAGTGCTCAAAAGGAATATTCATTCTTGTTGTGCATGTGGCTCATACAGAGTGGAACACAAGTCCTAAATCAAATGGGCCGATGCCGGTGCGGAGCGGAGCGGAGCGATGGCATTGGCCTTGTGCGGGTTTAATTCACTGTCTCGTTGTTAGGGACACTTAATGGGTTGGGGGTGCGGGGGCAACGGCCCCGCGGTACGGTATAGGGGTATTTTCTGTACGGGCCTTAAAGTCTTAAATGGACCTAGGCTAAAGTTAGTATAAATAATATGTTGTAACCCTATTTTTCAGAACTGAATAAAGAAATCTCCGCTTCGCTCTTGTGGACGTAGGCACACCGCCGAACCACATAAAATTCTTGTGTTGATTTTGGTTTTCATCTCTTTAATATTGCGCATAAAATCCAACAATTCTAATGCACAAAAGCACACACGGGGAGAGACTATAAACAGAGCAGTTAGACGTGCATTAAAGTCAAATAAAAACTTACAGCACTATCAAACATCACAATAAGAAGGAAGAAGGTTCTCACCTGAGAAAAAAGAGTGGAAGCTTGGCAAGTATCCACCATTATCAGGAGCTCCTTAAATCTGATAAATGAAACACGATTGAGAAGACAATGTCATCATACGACAGTGACTAGTTCAAATTGGATTTGACTGACTAATATAAAGATGCAATTAGAAGAACCTTACTTAAGTAAATCTTAGAATCCTTAAAAATTCAGCATCTAAATGTTCTAGAACCTAATCTCAAGTTCTAAATGACTGCCAAAGAAACTTTACATGATTACAAGGTGCTCATGGAATCTACCAAGAGCCTTGGCTTAGAAAATTTAATTTCCCGAATTTCATTTTCAAACAATAAATAACATAATGTAAAAAGTAAATTAAAAAGAAGAATACAAGTTAGCTGAAATCTCACCTGCGCTTTTCTTTCATTTGTTTCACGGCATCAGCCAAATCATGACTTTGGAGCTCCTCTGAATCCTGAAATTTTAAAAATTCGTCTCCACCATGCCCAGTCATGTATAGAAGTATGTGACTCCCTTCATCACTTAGAAGACGTTTTGACCTTGGAACAGCCGTTTCATGGCGCCCAGTTAATACTCGCAAAAAATTTTCTACAGTCACTTCATAACCTCGATAATCTACCTGAACTTTTGGAGGATACCATAATTAGAGAAATATTTCGAGCACAAATGGTCAATTTTTATTTTAAATAAAACGGAAAACTTCACATGTATATCTAGACTCCATATACATATAGGTTAATCAAAAGCTGCGGTCAGTTGGGGATATGGGGGTTGAGTACTGGGTAGAGGAAATTTTTAGATTTGACCAAAATGTAGCAATTGTAAATTTTAACACGATTTAGATTCTTTTGCCGAGTGGTGTGAGAGCAATCCATGCAGTTCCTTAGTTAAGAGGAAAGGCAATAGCAGCAGCTTTTGCCATAAACAGTAAACCACATTTCCAAAAAAATGTTCAGTCATAAGTGTTAGCCATCATTGTATATCATTTGCTCTTCAAATGCTGAAACAGCAGAAATATTGATTCCTAAAAATTATGCTCACATGATGAATTATCAGCAGAACCATCCGTAAAAGCAAAATGTTTTAAACATTAGTTTGTGTAATGCAATATATTAGTGAATTAGATAGCGGTTACAGACATCCATCTCTTATAACTTGTCTGGAAGTATGGATCAACGAAGCCACCCTAGAAACGGAATATTAAGGAAATACCACAATCTTAACATTTATCCTGTTAACAGAGCATATTAACATTTTTGTAATTCATTCCAAGATGGACCGACGCGTTTTACAATTATTCAGAATCAAACTCAATGAGAATAATATTAAAAATAACAGCACTATTTAGTTTTCTGGAGGAAAGCATAAGGTCATTTATAATAGACAATACACACCTCGACATTATCTCCATACAGGTTGAGCCTGTGGTTTTCATTGTTGAAGACCTGGGCAGGGTACTTGTTCCGAGCATTGCAAGCCATGTCATCAGCCAGCATGAGAATTATCCTCTCATCAGGTATTCCTAACCTCTTAACCGTTCTGCAGAAAATATAAACAGTAACAAAGCAGGCAAATTTTTCATTTTATTCACTTTTTGAAAACATTAAATACAGGTATACAAAATGAAGACAACAATAAACTATAAATAGACAAAGAAGAAGCAACCTCAGTTACCTATACAAGGATAACGTATTAGCCATGTGTCTATAATTAAACCTGAAAGATAACACATCACCAATGTGAGCATATTGAATCATCGACTTTCAACAGGCACGCAGCTTATGATTAATTGCCAGTTATTCAATTCTTTTTTTTCTGAAATAGCAACTTATATTTTATTTTCAAAACATTCAGCAACTCATAAGTTCAAAATACATTTAAAAAAAAATGAACTGATCCCACTTCTTGGTTGTAGGAAAAACTGAAACCATATTTCCGACTAGAACTTTACCTATTTTCTAAAAGTATCTAAAATGTCTAGTTAATATCAAATACTTGAAATGAAATCCTAGTCCACTACTCCTAGCGTATCCAAACTGCTATAAAATGCTTTTTTCTTGTACATATCGTTAGAAGTCATTCATTAATTTGCTGCAATAATTTCTAGGGAACAAAGGTGAAAAGGAACGAACTTTAATAAACTATACACAAACGGGTGAACTGAGTGAGAGTACAATACCAAAAGCGGGAAGTGCAGACAAGAACAGCCCAATTGTTCGTGTGCATTGTGGTAGCCGTAGACGAGGAACCGAAAGCAATAGACGGGATCGCATTGCAGAAAAACAGAAGAAAAATCGAGATTAACGTCGTCGATTTGAACGAGCTGTCCATTTTCGGTTGAAAGAAAAACAAATTCTTTCAGCAATCGCTCAATTACTGAATTTCTGCAATTGTTTCTCCCCTGTCATCGATTTCTTTCTGCAATTGCTCGCTTTTCAGCAACACAAATGATCTTTTTTTTTTTTTTTTTTTTAATCGTTTCTTTGGTTATATTAGGAAATTGAGTTGATTGTTCCAATGTCACCGAACATATGTTCCTGTTTTTTATTGTTTCCGAAATTTAAAATATCGAGTTTTGATCACTGAAGTCAGATGGATGGTTTTCATTAATTTGAGCGTTAGATGACTAGAATGATAAAATTAGACTTACTTTGATCATATTTGAAAGGAGTATGCTAAATGTATCTAATTTTTTTTATCTAATACTTTACATATACTCACAATATGGGTGTGGAGATCACATGTTGAGATTATTTTATTCATGCGGGATCCACGTGCTTGTAAGTGTACGTAAACCATTTGATAAATCAAATTATGTACACTTAAAATTATCATTTTAAAATGGTAACATTGTAAATTTACAATTTCAACAAAACAAATATTTATAATAATTAAATCTAAAACTAAAAAACAAAACAAAACAAAACCACACCCACCCATTCTCATCTCCTTCTTCCTGAACCCCTCACTCAAAAACCAAAACCACCCACATTTAGCTGTCAACAGCCACCGCCATCTCCTCAACCTCCAATCCCAACACACATCGAAACTAGTAGCTCCCTCAAGCAACGTCACCATTACCAGTCGCTATCGCCTCAACCTCCAGACTTTTATCACGGAGAGGGGCCAGCAGTAGTGCTCGCCTTTGAGCAGTTCATGTTCAACTTTAAGCTCTTGTTTGTTTTCGATTTTTAAGTAAAAATGTATTTTGAAATAGTTAATTGATGAAGAATGTGTGGTTAAAAATTAAGAAAATATTTCAGTTTTACGTATAATATTATTTTATTGAAAAATTTGTGATTGAAAATAAGGGAGGAAAAATGTATTTTGAGAAAAATGGGTATTAATAAGGGCTAAGACTAGGGGGATGTCCTCAATTGAGATTGCAATGGATTTTAAAAGTCATTCTAAATTTAGGTATTTTCAATTGAGATTTTATTGGATTTTAATTAAATTCATTAAAATTTAGGTGTCCCTAATTGAATTTTTAATGAAATCCTTTAAAATTTAAGTATTCTCAATAATTAGTGGATTTATAAAGATTTTATTAATAGAAGGATTTTAAAAGATTTGAATGGATTTCAAACTTAAAAATACATATAAGTAAATTTTTTGAAATTTCACTATATATGATGAGATTTTTATGAAATTTGTAAGAATGTATTTAAATCCACCATATTCATTCGAATTTATAATCATTTAAAATTCATCAAAATCTAAGTTGAGAACACCAATTATCATCCTAATCAAACCTTCACGCCACTGCCACCTTTGCCATCGCCTTTCCTCACCGTCAACACCTTCATTCAATAGCACTACCACTTACACCACATCAATGGCAAATTCTATAAGACAAATCTGATTTCAAAATTTGTTTTGCACTTCAAATCTGAAACACAAATATGATAACTCGAAAGCTGAAAAATAGCAGAGTGAATTATAGAAAGAAATTGAAAATAAAGTACCCTAATCACAATCTAGGGTGTTTGATTTGAAGGAATTGTTGAGAGCTTTAGCCGAGGTTTTGGTGAAGGGAAGACGGTGGTGTTAGTCGGCCTAGGTGACGATGGTGGTTGACGACCCGAATGATAGTTACGGTGGGCAACCTGGGTGCGGTGGCAACAATTTTAAGACAAGGGAATGTGATTGTATGGAGATGGACAAGAAAGAAATGGTTGGGGTGCATGGGTTGTTTCTTCATCCTTTTTTTTTTAATTATTTAATTATTTTAATTTATGTAAAAAAACCTTTCAATTCACCCATTTACCCTCTAACACATTAGTCAACATATGGTTAGACCGTGGACTTTTGATCAACTAACGATCAAATTAACGGAAACCATCAATTTGAGCATCAGGTTAGAATTTTTTAAAGGTTTGGTATCTTGAGTGGCACGAATGAACGGTTTGAATCAAGTCTGCTAATAAACGAATTTTTTTATACTTTGTCTACAATTTTCATTAATAGAGGGATTTAAAAAGATTTAAATGGATTTCAAGCTTCAAAATATATGTAACCAAATCTTTTGAAATTTCACCATATTTGACGAGATTCTTATGGAATTTGTGAAAATCTAATTCAAATCCACGAAATTTATTAAGATTTATAATCTTTTAAAATTCATAAAAATTTTAGTTGAGGACACCGTCAATAGTGTTTTTTTACAACTAAATAAAAAGACTTAAAAAATAAATAAAAATGAAAGAATGAAAATACTCAATAGCTCGAGAGTTGGCAACAGAATGGTGCATAAAAGGGCCACATTTAGAGCAACTCCAATGAGGTCGTTGATTACAATAAAAATTGTGTCACATCAATTCAAAATACTAACATAATAAGGAAAAAACGAATGATGTCTTGAGGCCATACTTGATATTCTACATTCTTTCTTGTGAACGTAGTCTACAATTTGTCCAATCGATATCCCCATTAGAGATATTCTTCTCTCCATTCCTATTCCAACGAATAAGCAAAACCAATTCGTCTCTCAATCCGGAAGAAAAACACTGATAGATTTTAGAATTTCATTAATTCATGTAACAATGTCATAAAAACTTTATTAGAAAACTACAAGATTTAAATGGATTTCAAGCTTAAAAAATATATGTAACCAAATCTTTTGAAATTTCACCATATTTGACGAGATTCTTATGGAATTTGTGAAAATCTAATTCAAATCCACAAAATTTATTAAGATTTATAATCTTTTAAAATTCATAAAAATTTTAGTTGAGGACACCGTCAGTAGTGTTTTTTTTTACAACTAAATAAAAAGACTTAAAAAATAAATAAAAATGAAAGAATGAAAATACTCAATAACTCGAGAGTTGGCAACAGAATGGTGCATGAAAGGGCCACATTTAGAGCAACTCCAATGAGGTCGTTGATTACAATAAAAATTGTGTCACATCAATCCAAAATACTAACATAATAAGGAAAAAGCGAATGATGTCCTGAGGCCATACTTGATATTCTACATTCTTTCTTGTGAACGTAGTCTACAATTTGTCCAATCGATATCCCCATTAGAGATATTCTTCTCTCCATTCCTATTCCAACGAATAAGCAAAACCAATTCCTCTCTCAATCCGGAAGAAAAACACTGATAGATTTTAGAATTTCATTAATTCGTGTAACAATGTCATAAAAACTTTATTAGAAAACTACTTATTTTGGATTGGTTGATATCTTTTACGCTTGTAAAGAGACTAAAAAATAGTAATAGATACGGCCATTTAAGAAAAATTCTCAAATCAAAATTCACTTGCATTCTTGCATATAAATTTAACAATTATATATATAAATAAAGAGATGTCGAAAATAAGTAAACTGAAAAGTTAGTAGACTTGTGTGTGTTTTTATCAAAAACCAAAATCCTGTATTTATAAGGTAGAATCAGGAATACAACAGTAATAATTTCTAGGGCTGCAGAGGTAAAATTGTCATTCACTAACAGACCCTAATAATTACCATTTACAACACTTTTCCTTTGAATGACACATTACAAAATATCTACCTCGTTAAAATCTCGTTTGATAAAAATTCAATGGGAAAAAATCAAACGAATGAAAAAGTTCATAGTTATTTTGGAGTTTTAAAAATAAATGCTGCCTCATTAAAATTTGCTAGGAAAAGATAAAACCTAAGCGAAAGAAAAAGAGTACAGCTACATCTCCTGATGTTGATCACTAAAAATCTTTGAGTCGACTCATTTCAATCTCATGAACTAATTTCTTGAATGTAAATGTTGACAGTGCTTTTGTGAATAAATCGACTACATTGTCACTCAAGCTAATTTGTTAGGTATCGTTGTCGCCATTCTTTTGAAACTTATGTGTATGAAAGAATTTTCGAAAAATATGTTTCGTCATGTCACCTTTGATATAGCCTCTTCTAAATTGTGCAATAGAAGTTGCATTGTTTTTATACAAAATTATTAGACTATCTTTTGTTGAAATTAACCCGCATGTTATTTAGATATAATGGGTCATATTTCTCAACCATAAACATGCTCAGCCTGCTTCATGGATTGCAATAGTTTCAAAATGATTTGAGGATGTAATTGTTGGGGATTGCTTCATAGATCTCGATGATATAAATAATCCTCCACGTGTAAACACATATCTTGTTTGTGATTTAGCTTTATGTGGGTTAGTTAGATAACTTGTATCTACATATCTCACTAAAGCAGATCTCGACTTTTGAGAATAAAATAATCCCAAGTCAATAGTACCCTCTAAGTGACGAAAAATATGATTAACACTTCTGAGAATAAAATAATTGGTGTAAAGCTATATTTTGCCAGGAAATTTATAGAAAAAAGTTATGTCAGGTCGAGTACAATTTGCAAGATAAGTTAATGCTCCAATTGTACTAAGATAAGGTACTTTAGGATCAAGAACCTTTTTTTTCCATCTTCAAGTAAACGAAATAGATCCATTTTCACATCAAGTGATCAAACAACTATATGTGATTCCAATGGATGTGCATTATCTATATAAAATGTTTACTTTTTCTGTACACGTAGATTAATGAACAAATAATTAATTTGCGAAATATTCTATCTGCAATCCGAGACAAAATGTGATTTTTCCCAAATCTTTCATGTCAATTTCGTTTTTCAAATAATCGGTAGTCTTGTTGAACTCTTCAAAAGTTCCAATTAAATTTAAATTATCAATATAAATTGTCACAATTACAAATCCAATATTTATTTTTCTTTATGAAAACACATGGGCAAATATCGTTATTTTTAGAACATTCCTTTAACAAATATTCACTAAGACAATTATACCATATGCGTCCAAATTTTTTAATCTATATAATGATATATGCAATTTAATTGAGAATATAGTTCTTGGACATGTATCATTTATTTCTGGCATCTTAAGTTCTCTAGGGGCTTTCATATATGTGTAACCATCAAGTGAACAATATAAATATACAGTTATTACATCCATAAGGCGCATATCAAGC